CTCAAACAAACTTCAGACCTTCATTAACAGTTGTCTTCGCTCAATATTCAGATGACCGACCAGAAAAGATCAGCAACAGGGATCTCTGGGAATGAGCGAACCAACCAGGAATAGATTGTGAAACGAATAGGCAGGAAGAAATGGATATGGATTGGCCATACTCTGAGGAAACCATCAAGTGACATCACTAGACAAGCCATCGCTCGAGTGGAACTGGAAAGGGGAGCGGCGAGTTGGTCGTCAGTGCAAGGGTGACTTGGAGGAGATCATGTGAAGGGAAGATGAAGGCATGTGGGCAGACCTGGAGCCAGGTGAAAACTACAGCAGAAAACCGAAGGCAATGGAGAGGCGCAGCTGAAGCCCTATGTTCCTCTAGGAATTAAAGGATATAATAACTTTTATTATTACTATTATTATATACGCAACACATCGAGTTAGACCTTCCATTTTCAGTAGAATACCTACATTTTTGGAATGAAATATTACGTTCAAATGTGGGCGAATATAAAAAATAATGACTGAAACGAATTACTAGCTGAGTGATGTTGAACAATCAATTAGAAAAACTACAAGTTAAAATCTCCATAGGCAATATGAAATATTCACTTATCGAAAGGAAGAAAGTAAAATAAGAAATAATGAAGTTTGAACAGGAGAATGCTAAACGCAGAAGTGAGTCCATTTTCTGAGATATATGGATTCTGTGTGACTGATTGTAGCTAGGTGTGCAAAATCATAAAATACTTCAATTAGATATCTCTGACTGGTATTCTAGAACATCTCGCAAGTCATTCCTTTGGAACGTCTGTTTTGACTAGGAAGTGGTATTCTACGTCCTATGCCCTGACCTAGCTAGATCTACATTATTTTACCTCAAGGTTATAACACTCAAATCTGATTTTCTGTAGCATTCAGAATAAACTGTCTTGTAACACACCAAATCCTTATATATTAAGAAAAGTTTATCACCTTACATCCTTACCAGTAATCTTACATTTCTACTATGATTGTAACTCAAATCCACATACATCTAGGGATAATACGCTTTCTTTCACAACTGATATATTGCATAGTTAAGTGCTCAAGCATTCGTCCATTGAGGTAAACATAGTTATAGAACAGTATTTAAGCAAAAATGTATTTTCGGTAAATAAAAGAACAGAAATCTATTTATATGAGAACAGATACCCTGAAAAATTTGTTAAAGTCTGGATGAGGAGTACAGATAGAAAGAAATGCCTACAAACTGTGCAGAAGAAATGCACATACATGACCTTACCGTTTAAAGGAGACGCAGCAACTGAACTTCTGGCGTCGAAACTTCTTAAAATAATAGCTAAAACATTCTTTGACGCAACATTGTGTTTAAAATTCGCCACTTGTGGCATAATTCCAACGCAGGTGAAAGATAAGCTATCGAGTTTTGCCATTTCAATGTAGATTTATAAATTTTCTGTTTATGTACAGACAGTTACATAGGTAGAACGACTCGACAAGCCCATCGTCGCCTTCAGGAGCATTATACAACGTGGTTAGGTAGAGGAATCGTTAAGTCGATCAGAATTTCCATACTGGCCCACCTAGTGGATACAGGGCATAAGATTGACAAAAACTCAGTTTTTACAATTTTATACAGGGTGCCACCTCAACTCCCCAGGTTGGTACTCCTCTTTGGTTGCTAAGCTTATCTGAGGCAGTCACCATAAAGACTTTTCAACCCAATCTCTGTATCCAGAAAAAGTTTGTTCAACTCCTCTCCCTCCCTTAGCCCTCATCGCAGACCTAAAATAATTATCTCTCGTGGTGACACCGGGTAATTGTAAATATTATCTTATAATACTTTTATCTCATTTTAATTGTAATGCTAACTGTATTATCAATATCATGCTGTGCTGTAGTTGTACATTTTATTCTCGGTTTCACAATTTATCATTATTATTATTATTATATCATTATAAATTGTGTTCTATAATTATCATTATGGGAATTGTTAAATTACTGTGAACATAGTTATTTAGTGTTGCTTAAAAGTATGTGTGATTCGTAAGCTCATACTCATGTTCCCACTGAAAATCAAACTCCATTTCTCCATATTTCAAATGCCAAACCGACATTCATTAAGTTACTGAATCAAGAAAACCAAACCGTACGTTAATGATAACAGCTAGTAATTTGTTCATATTATTCATCATGAGGGAGCGGAAACGATATACTCTGAGAGGAATCTTTTTAGCTACAAGCTGCACGGACCCAAGTGTTAAATGCAGAAACGGAAAGGTAAGACAGACCTTTACAAATGTCAAATAAATGTGAAAATCTACTGAGATCAGCATAAAAAACAATTGGGAGATGTTGGAATTCATGGACTGTCAATTGGTTCGAGTCCCGGTTGCTAATGGTCTACAAGCTGGCTCGCCTTGTAACCAGAAGGTTCTGGGTTCCAACCCCTGTGGTGGACGCGTACTAATGAAGAGTTGCAAACTAGGACAGAGGAAACAGCTTTCCAGTACTCCTTACAGATTTTCCAATGATTCTCTAACTGATGTCAGTTCATGATGAAATCCTAGAACCAATGAATAAATTATAATATTTGTGTTAGTTGGGAACTGAACATTTACCTTTCACCTTCATCAAAAGTTGTGTTGTAACAGTAGAAGAAAAAAGACACCCTATCTTCAACGCATCATTCACACATATCTTTCGTGTTGCGCTACTTCTGGCCTTCATATTGTGATTCTTTGTGTCCCTTTCACGTCTGCCATGTATCTCCACAACGCTGTATCATTTGCCTTCTCTGACATTAAATGTATCTCCCTGCTACTTAATATTTTTATGTCAATGAACGTCTCTTTATATTTATTTTTATTTTTTATTTTTTTTGATTACAGCTTGATTCCACACCGTATTTTTGGGACAAGTGTGGAATTTTCAGCGTGGATATCGGTAGCCCAAAATTCGCAGGCCGACCATAGATATCAGGTGTGGGTCGGCGTGGGCTCGAACCCCGGACCATGTGCATGGTCGGCGAGAGTCCTAACCACTGTGCCACCGACGCACAACCGGTCCCCACCCTTGACCGCTATACTACCGCTACAGCTATACTACTGATAAGTCTTATTAGTAGCACTCATCACAGTATGACTGAATTTTTATAGGTGCGTTACTATCCAGGTACGACACAAATTTTATAAGTTAAACTTGCTATTGATCGTGTGAAGTGAATACGTAAATAGCTTTAATTTTTAATCGCTCACCTTTTCTCAGCAAGAATAAATCTCCCCTTTTTCGGTAATACCTTGTCTTCTAAGTGTGGAGGTAGTTTATTCGACTAGTCGGTCCCATACCAGCCATCAGTAAACAACATCGATCTTTCTATTGCTGAGACCAATCAGTTAAAAGAAACCCTGAGTCATATATTATCCAACTATTAGATTTCTAAAAAGAATTCACCAGAAACTGTAGATAGAGTAGAAACAATAATGCATAGATGGACCTCCATCAAGATCACTAGAGTTCAGTTACCCGGAACAGACTTATTCTGTGATAATACTAATCAGTTTGACAGAGTGAAGTATCTAGAGCAGAATTCACTGTCTAAAATTCAAGTGCTAAAGTCTATAGGTTTATTCACGAATAATTCACAAGAAACAGAAAAATATTCTCTTCTACATAGAATTCTCAATGTGCAAACTAATTCGCGATTGAGGTGAAACTCCACCACAGTTCCCTTTAACAAACGAAACTACAACATGTATTCTGCTTGATAACATAAGTACCGATCAAGAAAGCAAGCACAAATGTATATTTCTACATTCTACTGATTGATCGACTGGTTTGATATGAGTAGATGGATACCCCTCACGTCGATCAGTAATGCTTGTTGACGTATTTCCAGAAAAACTCCTTAAATTCCCCTCGAACTGTGTAAATTGAGAATTAATCGGCAAATTACGAATTCGACTTATAGTATGACCAGTTCGCCCTAGTATCTATCCAGGATTCAGGTGCTCTAAATTTATTTGGCTCTTTGAGCTGATTCAAAACAGAGCACACTGTTGATGAGCTCAGTCCCGAACGACGGAAACGAGCATCGGATGTTCTTTTTCATCATTTCAATCTATCTAGCATGCACTACTTGTACATGTCAGTGGCATCCAACCACTTATATTATAATTAGTCAGTCGGTAGTAGGTAGCATCATCCATTTATGCTTGATTTCTTGAAGTTTGAATAATTTTGACTTCCAAAAGAAACTATGATGAAACTCAACCTCTAACTATTTAAAATTTACAAATTCCGGATTTAATTCTACTATATATTTCAATTTCGACACTTCTTTGCTTTCTGAGTGGAATACAGAGCTTCAGGCTTGAAACCTTGAACTGTCAGTAGCCATGGTGTTGTTTTTACTGAGTAGTGTTGTTATCCTCACCCCCAGCTTTCGCTCTTTCCCAGACTTAATATCAGCTAGTATACCCAGTGAGGTTTAGGAGTGAGTCAGCTGGGAATCGAATTCCAGACCACGTGCGTGTGAGTGTGTGTAGTTGATGAGCGTTCTGCCATCGAACCACTACAAAAATATATTTAACTCAATTTCAGATTTTCCAGTCGATTGATCAGACCGAAGTGCTAGGTCTCAAGTTGAGATGTCAGCTCCTCGTGCAGTTACTTCGACGATGTCTGGGCATGTAATTAGAAGTTTATTGGTTGATGGAGACTAGCAGTGGAATCCAGGATGCACATGTTGTCCTGTATATGACTCATCATATGGATGTACCTACCTGCATTCCTCAGTGAGTGATGATGTTCCCACCGTAGCTCAAACCCAGTGACCATAGTTTCAAATGCCAAAACGTTATCCACTAACAATATGCAATGTATATCAACTGAGAATTTTCACTGTACCTAGTAGTATCGCGATGAATAACACCAGCACATACACACACACACACTCCCCCATCCACCGGTAATAACGACAAAAAGAGTAGCAACAATAATAATAGCACTTCCTTCAATGTATACAAATATATTTATTCAATAATAATAATATAATAGTAGTAGTAGTAGTGGTAATGATAATAATAATATACAAAAGAAGAATAAGACAAAGAAAATGACTATGTTGTTTTATTTTAAATAATCAATAAAGATTTGTTTACCTGTCTATTTACTCTCCTTTCTCTCTTTATATCAAAAGACGAAAACACGAAAGAAATCAACTCAATACATACACATATACATGTATATCCCTAGAATAATAAAAATATATGTGTTGGAAGGTAGAAAATAAAAGGGCGAGGAGTGTAATAATAATAACAACAATGATTATATAACAATAAATAGCAGTAATAGTCAGTAGTCCAATTTTTATAAAAAAAACAACCTACATATTGAGTCAAGATGAATCCGAAAAATGGCCTTTTTATTCTTCAAACCTAACAGTATTAGTGTATTATTAACGGTAATAGTAACTCTGTCTCTCATAGCAAAATCAACAACAACAACAATAGATTTGGTCCTACAATACATACCTACACACTCATATGACAACTGACAAACAGACTATATAGGTAAGTGTCGTCAGTGGGTAGAAATACGCAACAACAACAACAACAACAAAAATGCGAAATGTTTCATTGTTTTTTAATAATTAATGAGAATTAGAAGAGAAATATGTTGTTGCTGTTGTTGTAGGAATAGCAGAAATGAGCAGAGAATAAATTTATTAATTTAAACTAACCAAACAACAACAGAAAAACCGGTTATTAGTAAATTCACCAAGTTGGTTGAGAACTACCTCACTATTCAAAATTTTAAGGCGACAAGACAGAGTAAGAGAGAGGGAGAAGAAGAAGCAGAAGAAGAGAAAAAAGTACATGACTATCTATCTGGAAAAGTGCAAAACATACATCTACGTTATTATATATATATGAAGCCATCAACCAATCAGATTAACGCATAACCAGTCAGTCAGTAGTATAACTAATACACATCTAACCAATCATCATATAAGGGCCCATTGAAGTCAGAAATTTTTTAACCAATCAAAATCCAGCTTAAATATTATCCTCCCTAATAACTAGACTTAGAGAAAGTAGTCAGGTATTATCATACGTAAAAAATAAGAATATTTTATCTTTTCCCTTCTGTTTTCCATCTAACTGTAAATTTTTTTCATATATATTATAGATTTTTTCACCTAAAAGTATTTTCAACAGTAATTTGGAAAAGATAGGTACGTGGTGAGAGAGAGAGAGAGGAAGAAACAGGTGGCGGGGGAGAGTAATGTTGTAGCGATTAAATAAATCTAAATTTGTTTGTATCAGAATATATCTTTTGCTTTCACCAATAATAATATACTAATTATTATGAATAATAAACATACATTACACACAGTAGAAGAGTAATCAAAGAAATCTTTATTGTTTTATTGAGAGAGAGAGAGAGATAGAGAAAAAAAGAAGTGGTTACAATTCACTGTTTTGTTTTGTCTTGTTTTACTGTTTCAAAATATGAATTCTTTTCAATAGCGCTTAGTTTGAAATTGTCAAAATTCAAATAGAGAATATATCTAGTTATTACGGCTACTACTACTACCGCCGCTACTACTACTAGAACTGTCCTCAAATGTCATTTCCGTATCCTCACAAGGATTATTCATCGATGATGGTCTTGACTCTAAACAAGAATTTCCTTCACAATATTGAATAGGATGAGACGTTGGTGATTGATGATGGCGACAATAATTATGCTGATATGGGTAAGCATAATACAATGATGATGATGACGATAGCGTTGCTGTTACCGCTGCTGCTGCTAATGCTGACGACTGGAATCGTGTTTGAGAAGCCTCTGAAACTCTGTGTAGATCACTTTCTGTTTGGCTAGGAGAAACAATTATATCAACACTTGGTCGGTGATAGTCATATGATGATGTATGAAGACCATGTTGAGGATAAGCAGTTACACTACAACCACTGTAGGTAGCTGTTCTTCGTCTTGATGAATAGATATTTTGATTTGAATTCGTTGACAGCAAGTCGTCAGTACCAATAGGTAATGATTGATTGACCAGTTGTATAGATCCTAGCATATATTCTATTGACAATGTAAACAATGATACTATATGAGAAGAGAATCTCCAAAATGATAGTAGACCAGTTCTTGCTCTTTGTATACCATTAAATAATACACCATTTAGCTAAAATGGAAAGAAAACATAAAATTCTTACTTTTCCAGGAATAAAACATTACTGACCATAAAATCTAATATAAAGTAAATATACTAATTGTAATAATAACATCTTTATTCTGAACAAGATTTATATAATGTACAGAATTTTCAGAGGAGCTTATTGCATGATATTTCCCCTTCGTACAATACCTTCAAGTAAAAATACTAATTGACAGTATATCCTTCCTGTGACACAATGCTCTCTCTGAGCTGAAGCACAAACCATTCCATTATGATATATCTGCTTTGTCTCCTTCAAGTAATCCACGATATCGATCTAGTTGAAAGCCAGTTGTAAGAAGCATATTCAGAAGTACATTTTGGAACCCAAGGACATAACTGAAGAACAGTTATCTCATGTTTTGGAACACTTTGCCACCCACCATCAGACCTTTCCTTAAGTTTAGTAGGAACTTGCGATTTAGGAGCTTGTAAACATTTTAAATACACACAAGAGTAGAATGATACTATTAGTGGTCATATCTTAATTGATTAAAACAAACCGAACGAGAGAAAATATATGCAATAGAGAGATGGAAGTTTTTGGTAGCTCAAGTTTCAAGCGGGCCTCCTGAGTTTTATTTGCATCACCTGTTGGTCGATCACGTTGGTCTCCGTTGACATGTCTCTTCCTAGTATAGATGCTTCGGTGATATCTGAAAGTGAAGACGATGTTATTAAATTTGACTGGAACTAGCACTGGAATTCAGGATGGACATTCCATCCCATTCGAGACTCGTCACTGGGTGTACCTGAAACCTTCAGTGAGTGAGGGTTTTCTCAGTGGGAATACAACCCTTCACCCCCCGTGTCAAACGTCAAGGCATTATCCACTAGATCACAGGTCCAGAACTTCTATGACGGTTATCAATCATTGCTTTCGTTGTTTGTTTAGGTTAATTTGAGTTTTATTTTAATAAATTCCGTGCCGTCATCATTATGGCACTGAAATTTAAATGATATTTCAATTTTGAAATTTGCGTCAGGAACCAATATCACTTAGAGAGATCACTGAAAGTCAGGGATCATTTGACAGCTGATTCGTCCTATTTTAGGAGTATACAGCAGTGTACACCCAACACCACCCCGTCGGGAATCGAACCCAGAACCTTCAGATTACGAGACCAAGCTCGTTGACTATTCAGACACGTGCGCTGGAATTCAATCACCCATGAATTTTGACTCATAGTATACCTCTGCCCTCTCCAATACGTTAGATGAGCATCTACTTCCCATTGCCGTAATGGACCCTACTAGTCACACAAATCCTATAATTTAAGGAATACTCGATCTGATCTTTATGGTGTACCATAAATTTACTTAATGCGCAAACACTGTTATTTACCAATGTGCGCTGTATAAAACCGAAAGGCTCAATTCAATACAAAGTTAATTATTCATTTAATTAGTACAAATAAAATATGATATCTACCACAGATCTAACAGATTCTTTTTGTGTACTAAAACGGCACTAATTTTTGTTATGTCAATGATAGATCAAACGGAAGGGAAATCAGTCTATTAGGTTTTGAAGCAAGGGCGTCTTTGTCTTACGTTTGCCGAGTTACCGCCTTCCTTAACGAGTAATGTTAGCTGAGATATAATTAGGTTGGAAAAGAGTTGGAGGTGATCGAACGAAAACTTGGCACCAATGGCATCAATCCATGAAGTATTTGACTGTCGGTTTGAGTCACATAAGGAGGTGTAGACTACCTTAGTTAGAGTCCTTGGATACTAAGAACCAATGACTGGAGACTACTGAACTTCTGCACTTCTATGCAAAATTCAATATTGAAACTAAGTCAATTAAACAATTGTTGTTATATAATTAATAAAATCATACATGATTTTCCTCCTGATTCTTCAGTCGTCAAACTCGATCAAAATTCAGTCAACATAATTTAAGAAAGTTACAAGTACACTGTATGATTGTATGATGACAGTTTCATTTATTCATAGGAAAGCACTTATTACTTGAAAATGGGAATGTAGAAAGCGTACAAAATTGTAACAAAAAGTTTATGTGCTAAGATACTGCCTAAGTCTGACATGTAAGGATCTGAATTTAATTTCAGACTGCCAGTAAAATACTTCCAATTTATGATCTAATTATTTATACTTGGAAGTTATAATCAATAACATTTTGAACATGCACAGTGAAGAAGTAAAATGAATCTATTCACTGAAGGATTATATCATCTAAGCTAACTGGATAAGTGTACTGTACAACTAGATAAATTAATTTATGATATCAATAGTCTGAACCAGTTGACTTTATTAGTAAGACTGTGAACCAGTAAAACCTCATCTCATGTTAATCACCTTCACAGATGATGTGTGAATACTTCTACAGTATCGTAAAGAGTGAATATTAATACATGTTAAAAATGTGGTCAAACACACCCGCGGTCCTGATTCAATTCCTGTCCGATGCACACCTAAAACCCCGCTTAGCTGGCTGTTAACACAGTAAAGAGGATAGGTTGAAAGTGAAGCTAACGGCCACACTCGTATAAACAACACCATCGCTAATGAGACTTCAAAGCCTGAAGACTAAATATGGTCTCATATGCGTCGTTGGTTCAGTGGTAGAATGTTCATCCGCTACTCAGGAGGTCGAAGTTCGATTCCCTGCTGATGCAATATTTAAATCTTTTGTAGTTAACAAGCTGGTATAGTAAGCCTAAAAATGATGGAAGATTGAGTGTGAGGCTAGTAACTCCACTCTGTAAAAGAACAACATCACTACTGAAACATCAAAGCTAAAGACTGAAGCCCTATTATGTTCCAGTCAGAAAACAAAAAAGTGGGATAAAACGACTAGGAAACAAGTAATTCACTGAAATATTCGACTCGACAGTCAAACTTTTCAGAGTATATTTTAACATTTTATTGAAAGCCTTGTTATTTTCCTACAAGACACAAGTCCCTCGAAGCTTACCAAAGCAATTACTTTCATTCATTCATCTAGACAGTATAAAGAGATTTATTAAAAACTTAATCAAATATAGTGTTAGTTAGTCAGTTACATAGAACTCACTTACACTTTACCGGGTTATGAGTCATATTTATCGTGTGACGGCTTATAATACTACCCAACAGTTGTCTAGGCTGAATTAGATGGAAAAAGATTCGAACCTTCGACCTGTTGTTTGAAAGTTGAGTGTTTAATCCAATGACTGATATCCCCGACGAATCTAAAGTATCTGGACTCCACCCCTCATAGTTCGTATCTTATATTAATCAGATCTTTGAAAAGTCTCAAATTAAGGCAAAACAATTAAGTATTCAGTGTTTCCAGTTTGTTTGTCTGTGTTTTCAACAGTCGTCTGACTAATGTCGTCCATCACCTTTTAAAAAGAACTACTTATTTAAAGTACACTCAAAACAATACAATAATTAATTTTAGTGCAGATTTTGTCATGACCCCATAGTCGAAAGGCCAAGTTAAAGTATAACGATCCAGGAATGCGAACCCATCAATGATTCTGAACGTACACTAGTCGGTAGATAACGGGACCTACCATTATTATAACGCCAGTATGAAGGAATTGAGGTGCAAATTTCATCCCCACTTCGTTTTTAAGTAATGTTTGGATAATGTGTTGATCACTCGTTAGGGTTACCTTTAGGGTTAGGTTAGGAATCGGGATTAGGGCTAGGATGGTTTAGTTTTACCATTTGAATTTTTCTAGAAAGAAGCTACCGGTCCCCCCACTAGAAACAATACTAATTCAATGGAAAGTCTTGGGGGAAGACTGAAAAACAGGATAAGTAGGTCAGAAGACGACCTCATCTTCAGTAAACACGGTGGATTTATGTACAGTAAGTGGTTTAACTTAAAAACGGATACTCCTAATTATAATTGGGAGATATTTTTAAGTCATGTCAAAGAAAAATATCCTGTTTAATGTGTTTTGTCATTATTCTTTATATTTCTCTTGTAAGTAAACGTTTCTGCGTAGAAATCCCTGGCTTTTCTGATTGGTCAGCTCAAGGTCAGTCGTGGGTTCACATACCATGGACCTTTATGGTTTAACTTCGCCAATCTAGGTATCAACGGCAAGCTGATTGATGGATACTGGATGAATGCCCTACAGGTGTACTGAGAAGTTAATGGACAGTTGGGTCCATATCATAATCAAGGTGAAATGGATGCTCACTGAAGGCATTGGTTGGAGGTGGCGCCAGCCATATCACGGAATTTACAAAGTTAGAATTCAGGGATCATTGGATTCCAGCCCAAGAGGTTGAATGGTCAAAGAGTTTGGTCTCATTGGTATCGGGTTCACCCCATGGTAGGATTGTGGGTGTGCACAGTTGCAGAGTTCGAGTCCAGAACGAGGAAGCAGTCCAGTTGTTGTTGACGTTGGTTCGGAACGAAATCTATATTGAAATTCATTCACTCATGAGCTTAATAATAATAATTAAACTATTTCACATAATGTCATTGAAACAATGGTTCGTTGTTTTTTGAAAAAAATAATGATGACGATAATAATACTAAACTGCACTTGATTTGTTCATAGTTGAATTTCTTTCTATTCAAGGTGATATTAACTTTGTCACGTGGTTCAATACTTTGTTATTGTTTTGATACAAAATTTATTGTGCGTAAGTATATATATGTACCAAACTTAGATTGTATGTATTTATGTATGTGTGTGTGTGTGTGTGCGTACATGTGAATACAGCTACAGATGATCATTAATTCAATGGACTATGAATGTACATTTTATATTGTTGACTGTCAAAGTAACCAACCAACCAACCAACTAACAAAGTGGTTTTAGTTAGTTGATGTGTGAGTCATAGTCAGAAAAAAAAGATTATTGATTTTTACCTATAAGTAACTAAACTATATATTTGCATATGTTCCCTTGTGTGATTGAAAGAAAGTGGGATAAAAAAGAAGTATATAGTATGAATGAATAGAAAAATGGCTTACACACCATAATTGACTTCAGAGTGTGGTTATGATGACCACTGTAATCTTGTGCATCAAGTAATGCCTAAGGAGAAATAAATAGTGGATATGGAGAAAAAGACAGCCAAGCAACATTAAATAGATTCTTTGCTCAAACAGTGTAGTGTCACACAGCTAGAGCTAGAGTATGGTTCATTGGCTTTAGCAGTAGACCATTACACTTGATAAGCAGTGGGTTCGAATCCCGCTTTACCTACGCAAGACGTTAGTCTCAGTTTCTGCCATTTTTTAAAATTAAAAAGTGTTTAGGGTTTCCTTTTCTTATTTTCACTGATTTTCTAACTGATTTCATTTTGTAAAAAGTGGAAATATCTTCAAGACATCATTTAGCTGATGTCAGCTAGAAGTGGAATCCAAGATGCTTCTGTTGTCCTATACAGCATTCACTAGATGGGTGAACCTGATTTCCGAATGAGTGGTGATTTTCCTACTGAGAACTTCAACCCACCAATTATCATTTCTAATGCTATAGCATCATTCATTAGGTCACTGGATCTTTATTCACTGGGAATACAAGTACATGCGGCTGATGAGTCTTAATTAGGACGAAACACCTGTTGTACACTTCACTGCTAGTCACCACCAAGCAAATAACATCATTGACAACCTTCAGACATCGTCACAGCGTCATTACTAAGAGCTGATACTTCAAAAGAGACAGAGGATTTCGGGAAATATCGAATGACTTAAACCACAAGAAGGAATGTCTCCAAAGTAATTACCTCCTGCAAACTATTTAAATACTAATCTTTTATAAAATTATATTTTATAGTATAATCCCACCAATCATTTCAAATAAAATAATAATTGCATGGAAGATTTCATCATGAGTTGACATCAGTTAGAGAACCATTGGAAAACCACCTCGGAGTACTGGACAGCTGTTTCCTCAGTCCTAGTTTGGGGAGTTCGAACCCAGGATCTTCTTGTTACAAGGTGAGTTCACAGGCCATTGAGCCACTTGGACCCGATCCAATGGCCATCAAATTCTAACTTCTACTGAAGATTCCCAAACTAGGACGAAACAGCTGTCCAGTACTCACACGTTTTTCGGTGGTTCTCTAACTGATGTCAGCTCTTGATGTAATCCTTCATGCAATCAAACAAAATCCCTACAAAAACAATACTTGAAAATAGTTATAATTATTTTCTTCTAAAATAATAGATTATATATATATATATATATATATATATATATAATATACTACTAACTAACTACGGCACAACTTACCAGAGTATAGTTTGACCGATTCATGCATGATTGATTTGCCATTAATTCATCTCCAACACTAGCTAAACGTCTTGCTAATAAAGTTAAATGTATCCTATTACTGATACTATTTGTCGTTGCATATAATTCATTTGTTTCATATGAATATCCAGTATCATATAATGATTGTGAAAAAGAAGGATTTTGTACTCCACTTGGATGAAGATTATAGAGATGGTGTTGCTGGTGGTGGTGGTGGTTGAACTGCTGCTGTTGGTAGTGATGATGATGATGATTAGGATAACCATACTGTTGATAATTATAATTCATATTCAAGGATGTTCGTACAAGTGGAACAGATGAACACCGTGGCTGTGAAGTTGTTAAATGATGCTGATGATGATGTTGGTGATACACAGATGAATTGACACTGGATCCAAGTGTAGTATACAACATATGTAATCCTAATCGTGGTACAACATCTGGCATAGGTGGTTGTAATACAATCCGACTATTATTATCTATCTCATTTATATCATTAGGAAATATAGAATTATTCAAAGGTGAATTCGGCAATGAATTGATAGAATGAGACAAAGCTGAAATAAAAAGGAAGAAAAACATATATATATATATATGTATTCAAGTTTGATAGATTATTGTATGGGATCTTGTTGCAATCAAGATTTCTACTTTAACATACAAAAGTTTCAGTGATATTAGATGGTTGGAGGCAATTGGCAACAGGAAGCCTTGCTTGACCTAGATTTCGTGCTAGTTGGCACTCCCTAGTCAACAAGGCGTATCTGCAACCTTCAAGGAACTCATGTCCCACTCCTCTGAGATTTGAACCCGTGTCACTCAGTGCAGTGCTGCAGTCAGAGACGTTACCACTGAGCTATTCAAGCTTGCGATTGACCTCCTGTAAGACCTAGAATGGTGGTCACACTGCAAACCTGACTGACAGAATTCAGTCTGTTACCGAAGAAAGGACTAGACACATCACACTAGTTACTAGTGTTCAATCAAAGTATACAAAAGCTTCGTCATACATTTAAAACATATAAGTACATAAATAAGTATATTTTTAGTGTTATGTTTCAGTAATGTTCAGCCTTACTTTTCATAAGATTCATAAAAGCACTCATCACTACTGATCAGTATTCAAGTGGAAAGAAATATGTACTGAGTTACATTTCTGAACATCATCAAGACACTAAAACTAAAAAAATTATTTCTAAGAGTTGGATTGTAGAGAGATGACTGACTACAAGGAAGATTTTGCCAAGAACTGATATCAACCAGAGAACCACAGAAAACCAAGGTTTACTAAACGGTTGTTTCGTCCTAGTTTGAGACTCTTCACAGCACACATCGACGACTCCAATAGGCATGAAATGCTGCAAACATTATATGCCCCCGCTGCCTGAAAATTTTACAGTACCTTATTTAGGGCACATTTTATGTGATGAGAAAAGTGTAAGGCAGGAAACTGATGACTTACTGTGAGACACCTAGATAAACGGCCCTCTTTATTCTTTCTTTCATTATTAGATTGTTATTAATATTTTCACTTAATTGAATTCTATATTTACATTCTTATTGGACAGTAGTATAACCTCTGTAATGAGAAAATTAGATGCAATACTGTACTACTTGCTGAAGATTCCATATTTGTACCAGAAGTACCGTTTGGAATAAAGCTTATTATCTTTTTTCACCTTCATGAAAAGAAGACACATCAACTGACTAGGTTCCCGAAGACTTTCATCAGCCTGTATCATTCCGTCTCTCCGATTCTAGCGAAGAATAAGTGTTTTTTTTGTATTCTCGTTATGTTTTTAAGTTTCTGTAGAGATTGAGTTGATTTTCCAGAATAGAGTCGCTAGCCTCACACACACCCCCCAACCTTCTCTTTTTTCTGAGCTTAGGACTGGCTAGTGAACTAGGAAAGGTTAAGGATTGAATGCACAATTGTCAAACTACTTATACGAGTCCACTGATCATTCAATCACCGGATTGGAATTTATAAGTTCTCAATTCTGTCAATTAGCGAAATATAATTCTACTACCATTTAGTGTCATCGATGGGTGTTTGTTGAAGAGTCCTAAACTAGGAAGAAACAAATATTCAAGTATTCCCTGATTTTCAATGATTCTCTAACGCATTTTTTTGGTGATAAAATTTTAATTCAAAATCAAATTATTTATTATTTTTTCCTTCACTTTCCCCAGTGGAACATAGGGCTTCAAGCTAGTGGCTTGAAGTTTCTTTAGCGGTGTTTATTTTACAGGATGGGGTTGCTAGCCTCATGCCCAACCTCTCCTCTTTATACCAGCATTATTTCTGGCTCAGCGAGGTAAAGGAGTGCATCGGCTGGGGATCGAACCCCAGACCATGTGCATGGTCGGTGAGCATCCTAACTGCTATACCACCAACGCAATGCAGTTGTTAAATATAAATCTGAGAGGTAAATAAGTAGTTAAATAATAGTAATTGATGAGTGATGGAAAATGCCATCATGTCACCAACAGTCTTAACACCTTGACGTTAATAACCAAATAATTTACACTTATCTGTATAGCCCAGAGAGAATAGTAGTGAGAAATGATATCCTGGTGATTATATATATTTTTATTTTATTATAGCTTGATTCCACACACAGTGCTTTTTGGTACAAGTATGGAATTTTCAGCATGGATATCGGTAGCCCAAATTTTGTAGGCCGACCATAGATATCAGGTGTGCGTCAGCCAGGGATCGAACTCCAGACCATCTGCATGGTCGGCGAGCGTGCTGGCCACTATGCCACTGACGTACACACTGTACACCGACAAAACAACTTAGACTTTAGCAGATTTGAGACTTACCGCCACTTAAGACTACCTGACCGACGGCCAACTGCTGTACCCATCATTAATACTCATCTCCACTTCGGCCTTTAAGGTACTTACTTGAATAGCTTTTTTTTTTGTTTACAAATTTCCGCTTATATTTACTCTCTTTCTTCTGACATCTTTTAAATTAAGAAATGTACTCATCTCTTAAATACTGTAAACGACAGAGACAAATATAAAAGAGAAAGAAAGAAAACTAACCAGCTAGCCAGCCAGTTAGCCAGTCAGCAAGCAAGCAAACATACAAAATAAAACACAAGTGAAAGTGAACATTTTCATCACTTAGTCAAATTGATAACAACGTCATATCATAAAAACAGAGAGGGAAAAATGTTTTAACACATTGAATTCAGGAAGAGGAGAAGACAGCCATTTTTTTGTCGCTTAAATGATACCGCGTCGTTGTACTTATCAAAACAAACAAAGAGTCAAGTCAAGTGAAGGTAGTCAAGTCAAGTCGGGTAATATCTATTTTACTCGCATTATAAGATAAGGCAAAAGTAGTTAAGATAGGATAAAAAGGAGTTAATGTGTTCTTTTTTTTCATTAATAACGTCATACAAACTACATGCATACACTGGGAAATAGTGGAAAATGAAACATGCCTACCATACTATTATTATTACTGTTACATTATTATTAATGTGATCCACTACATTTTATATGAAATGTATTCATCCATCTAGACAACAATATTCTCCTAATCTAACTGAAATGGTGACAAAAAGGCGAAATGTACATCTATAAAGGCATGCTTGTCTATCTGTCTATCTATGTATAGTGTGTGTTTAAAGAGACAGATATATGTGTAATAAATAGACAGGGGATATAATACACTATACAGACACATATATAAACATGTCGTAACGCGTATAGAAAAAAAAACAACAAAAAAAGCGAACGGAAGAGTATTGAAAACATGTGAAGACAAATTGATGAGTAAGTAATAAGGTGTATGTGCATGTTGTGAGAAGCAAGACAAAAAAAGAAGACGAATGATGTGATGTGATGTGATTGAATGATAAAGACAACGCCCATTATTATTATCATAATCATTTAATAATAATAATAATTGAAGAATACACAACTTCATATTTCAACTAAGTGATTTTTATGAGAAGAGGTAACGAAAAACAACGTTATGATTTGTGATTTTAAGGTCACACATAGCGCACACACGCACCCACACACACATACACGAGGAGTGAGAAAAACTACTTTGAATAGTAAAAAAAAGAACACTACAGTAATAAGTGGCATGTTCAAAATCAGAAAAAATATATTAGCAGAAAATACAAAATACAATTTAATGCATATAATAAGAATATGGCCTCAAATCAAATATACATTAGTGACTCATTACTATTACAGGCTGAAGTTGCCTGGAGTTTCTAATGTGAAGTTGGGGCGACTAAATCGAGTGTAAAAAAGACCAATATTTGTTTATGACAGTGGCACTATCTATATATTGCGAAATGGAATAAGTTGTATTCATGGGACATTATATTCCATCCCAATTGGCTGCGTACTACTTAGTAGGTTCTCCTCGTAGCCTGGATGTCTTCAATTCGATCCCTGATGGGGTCATGGGTTCGTGATGATGACGAGATCCAAACAACTGTTCTATTCTCATTGGTTTTCAAATTTTCTCTAAATGATGTCAGTTCATAATTTAACTTGAAAATGTCTCACTGAAGACCACACCCACCCACCCCCTCAGTAGAATTAACCTCTATGAGTTGTAGACTTACGATGAAGTAAATCAGTTCCAAACATTATAGGAGTGTCTAAAACTGATATATATATATATATATATCCATATAATATGTGTGTTTGTTTGACAGTCTGATATATTTTGCTATGTATATATGGATCGATATTCCATTATAATTAGCCAATCATGTTAAGACTGTCTATTGATTTGTTCATTTTGAATATTCGCTCACACACTTGTGTTCGCACACTTTCGGACATTCATATATTTTTGCTCTCACACTCTTGTGACAATATTGATTCTCCGGAGTTTCGGAAAATAGAAGTAGCATCGCAAACCTAGTGGTCTTCTGATTTCCGTCTTTCTTGCGTCAGGGCTATTAATTTCTCGACCAGTACATAACAAAAACGTAAAGACTTTTCATCTGATTCCGTAGAAAGTGACTAAATTAGAATATTGGAATATTTTCTGAGGATTATTAAGATTTTAGGAGTACTTCAAACAATATGGGATAAGGAATTCTATATGCTCTCAGAGGAAGACAGACATTAAATTTCCTTTAGTTCCTAATGTCATCATTTTATGGTAAAAATTCTCTTCGAATCAAAAGTTTACTGTCTCATTGCATACTCCATAACAAATGGCAAGTAATGATTACTACCACTCACTCCATAACCAAACCACACTAATAATTTAACCGAATTCAGCAACAGTTAAATTACGGCATAAATAACTTAAATATTAAATGGAAATAATTCATACATTTGGTTCCCTTGATAAATTTCGATAAAGAAAGGAAGACGAAATTTGCGGTATAAAATGATATCATTCTATTTCACAGGTTCTCATCAGCTGCAGACTACTTTAATGTTCGAGTTGTGGTTGCGTCAATTTTATAGTATCTCTTTTCTGCCACAACATGATTTCCAACGCTTATAACCAATATTTTATTGTACTACAATATTCCTCTTATCTTATTGTGGTCGA